AACCTTATTCTCATCTTTTATCTTTTCATTTAATTGAAATGATTTATTGATCATTTCATTGAGTTGAAATGATTTATTGGGAGGCAGATTATAGGAGATTCCACAGGCATTAAAAAAAAATCTAGAACTTTAAGAGGTGGATATGAAAGAAATACTAATATTTATAATATACTAATATACTATTAGCGGTTTATGAGAGGTACTGATAAACTACCATAGGAATAACAGAGTCATTGTGAATAAAGTAATCTGGGAAAGTTTCTGGAGAGCTGACATTTTAGCCAGTTCTTAAGAGACAGATTTCACCAACAAATTCAAGGAGAAGGATAACTAAGGAAAAAAATGTTTGAGTAGATCCTCAAGGCATATATTTGAGGTCTGGCAGATAGACTACTACAGCACAAATGCAGATTACCACAGAGGAAGACTAGATCCAAAAGGCAGCAGGCAACAGTTTCCAGAATCTCTGATTTCTGAAAACAGACAAATTTTTAGCTAGACTCATTATGGGAGAAAACTCTAATAAACAAAGCAGGAAATAAACAGAAATTACGAAAAATGTCAGAAATGCAGAAGATCGGGCCTCCCTGGTGGCTCAAGGGGTTAAGACACAGCCTGTGAAGCTATCCCCAGCCACTGCAGCACGAGTTTGATCCCTGGCCAGGAAGCTACGCACATGGTGCAGCAGACCTCTCCTGTTTCTCCTACTGTTCCCCTCAGCAGTTTATTTTGGTCAATCTGACTGTTCTGTTCCCCACTCTCTCTCTCGTGAATCCTCTCACACACACCCCCACACCTCTGGCCTGTACCCTAGTTCTTGTATGCATAAATAAATAAATCTTAAAAAAAATACAGAAGATCATAAGAGAATACAATGAGCATCTTTATGTTGACAAACTGAAAAATCTAGCAGAAGTGGACAAATTCTTAGAAGCACACATCCTTTCAGGACTAATTCAGGAGAAACAGAAAACCCGAACAGACCAATTACAAACAATTAATTATAAACAGGAAATTGAAACAGCAATCAAAAATCTCCCCCAAAATAAAAGTCCAGATGGCTTCACAAGTGAGTTCTAACAAACTTTAAAGAGGAACTAATACCTATTCTTCTCGAAGTCTCCCCAAAAATTGAAGAAAATGGAATGCTCCCAAAAACATTACCAAAACAAACCATTAACAACCAAAAAAGAAACTACAGACCAGTATCACTGATAAACAAAGCAAGCTGAATTCAACAATACATTAAAAGGCTCATAAATTATCACCAAGTGGGATTTATCACAGGTATGTAAGGATAGTTGAAGATATTCAAATGAATCAATGTAATTCACCATATCAGCTAAAAGAAAGATGAAAATCATATGATCATATCAATAGATGCAGAGAAGGCAGTTAATAAAGTTCAGCATCAATTTATGATTAAAAACTCTTAGTAAAATGGGGTTAAAAGGAACATAACTCAACTACCTAAACACCATATATGACAAACCCACAGCTAACATCATATTCAGTAGTGAAACACTGAGATTTATCCTCTAACATGAACTACACACAAGAATATCTAATCTCACAATATTCAGAATTGTAATGGAAGTCCTACCTAAGGCAAGAGAAAGATATACAAGGAACCTAAAAATGAAAAAGAAGCAAAACTATCACTATTAGCAGATGACATAAGTAGAAACCCCTAAAGATGTCACTAAAAAATAATTTGAAACAATAAATCAGTATAGTTAAGTGTCAGACTACAAAATCAGTTGCACCCCTATACACAAACAACAAACTAGAAGAGAATGAATCAAGAAAATAATCCCATTTACAATAGCATCAAAAAGCATTAAAAACATAAGAATAAATCTATCAAATGAATTGAAAAGAATGTTCAATAAAAACTATATTATTCATGAATTGGAACAGATATTGTTCATGAATTGGAACAGTTAGTAATATTATAATGGCCACCTTACCCAAGGCAATATATCAACTCAGTGCAATGAAATTCTTCAAAGAAATAGAGCAAACATTACTGAAATTTACATGGAACCAGAAAAGACCATGAATAGCCAAAACAATCTTGATTAAAAAAAGAAGAACGGAAGTATCATACTCCAGACAGGAAACTATACTACAAGGTTAGAGTAATCAAAGCAGAATGGTATTGGAATAAAAATAGACACACTGACTAATGGAATAGAATTGAGAGCCCGGAAATAAAGTCTCATTAATCTGGACAGCTAATTTATGACAAATGAGTCAAGAATATAAAATGGAGAAAGGAAAATCTCTTGGGGAAATAAAATAGCCACAAGCATCCCACCATACACAAAAATTAACTCCAAATGGATTAAAGACTTGGGTATAAGACCTGAAACTATAAAACACAAGAAAAAACACAGGCAAAACACTCCAGGACATTGGCTTCAGGGATATCTCTGTAGACTTGACTCCAATGGCAAGGGAAACAAAAGCAAAAATGAACAAATGGGACCACATCAACTTAAAAAGCCTCTGTGTAATGAGTAAAACTTGTTAAAACAAAAAGGCACCCTTCTGAACTGGGAAAAATATCTACACATTATATATCCAACAAAAGGCTAACATCCAAGATCATGAAACTCAACCAAAAGAAAACAAAGAACTCAATCAAAACATTGACAGAAGACCTAAATAGACACTTTTCCAAAGAAGACATAGTCAGAATGAAGACTGTTTGAGCTACTATGGTAAACAGTTGGAGGTCCTCAAAAATATTAAAAATGGATATACCATATGATCCAGTAATTACTTTCCTTAATACTTATGCAAAGAAAGAAACAAAACACAAATGTGAAGGGATATATGCACTATTTACAATAACCAAGTTATAGAGTCACTGAGTGTTCTGAGTAGTAAGGTAGCATGTTCAGTAGATGTTCTTGCTGTGTTTTCAAGAACTTTAATGTTGGCAACAATGCCTAGGAAAGGGCACTGGAAGTTGTGGACACCAGTTTCAAACTGCAGTCCTAAGCAAAGGTAACATGGGCCTGAATTAAAGTGCAGAAAGGATGAAATGGGAACAGAAATTTTACCAAATTATATTAGCAGTAATCCACTAATTCAAAAAGCATTTAGGAACTTCACACTATGTATAAGGCATTATAGGTGCTTGGGATATAGCAGTGAATGAAATGGTAACAATTCTTGCTCTTAAGAAGTTTATATTTTAATGCAGGCCAACAAAAACTAATAAATAAGTAAACTACGTCAGGTACTGTTGGGAAAAGAAAGGCAAGGCAAAGCTGACAAGGATTAAATATATGCGGGAGGGCAAACTGCAATTTTAAATAGAGTGATCAGGGTAGGTCTCAATGAAAGAGCAATATGAGAACGCAGATGAAGTAGACAGTTAACCATGCATTCAACATTATTCCAGTTAAAAGAAACAGTAAAAACCCCAAGGGGAAGTTGGTATATTCACAGGAAAGCCAAGAGGCCAATAAGGCAGAAGAGTCCTCAAGGAGAACAGTAGAAGACAAGATCAGAAAGGTAGTGGGGTCAGGTCATGTAGAGTTTTTTAGGCCCTTATAAGGCCTTACTTTCACTCTGAGAAGAAGTGAAGTCATTGGAGGTTTTGAATAAAGTTATAAGATATATTTTAAAATTATCACAGGGTTGGGAGACTACATAATAAAACTTATCAGATTTGGAAACCAATGGCCATAAAAGAATCTCAGTACACAACATACTGAGAATATGAACCAGGAACACAGAAATATCTAATAGGAATGAAGAATAAAAGGAGGACTAACAAACAAAAATATCATGACACGATGAAACTTGCAAGAAAACACTTCTCAATTTTCCTTAGATGAGGAACCCTTTGAGTTTAGAAGTTTCTTTTAATCAATAGCTTTTTGTTTCTGTAGCACTTTATAAGGTTTAAAAATATTTCCAGATCCATTATTTCCCACAATACAGGAGTTTCAAAGCTAAAAATGAAGCTTACAGATTACTCAGCTTAAAAAAAATCCCAGGCCTCTGTTTGAGTCATCACGAAACATGACCAAAGTCTTGCAGCTCTTCAATAGTAGATTCAGGGCCAAAAGCCAAATCTTAACACATTGCCTATATGCACAATGAGCACTAGGATCTTCAAATCATGCAATGGGACACTCAGACCCATGAAGGTCAAGTAGCACATTAGATTCACACATAAGGCAAAAGAACAGCCAAAATGAAAATCCAGCTATCAACACCTAATCCAAAACTAGAAGCAATTTTTAGACAGCTTCATTCTATAATTTGTTTTACCTGTCACATTATAGCACACCTTGCGTCCTACTTATAAAACAAGTCAGCATTTCATTTGTTTGATTTTCTACCTTAAATGTCTGCAGTCTAAGTCTTGATGCTTTTTCATACTGAGAGCTACTTATTTACAAACAGACTTACATTTATGGAAGACGGACACAAGACAGGAGATAGTACAGTCAGTTTGGAGGCTTCTGTACTCCTGGCAAAAGAGAAGTCTAAAGCAGAGCAGTGGCAGAAGAGAGAGAAAATACCAGAAATATCAAAAAATTTTCTAGACTCGACTAATTGGATTATAGGGATGAGGGAGTTGCAGGGATCAGAAAATAAGAAAAAGCAGAGTCAAGAATGAACTCAGGTTTCTAGAACCAGACTGGGTAGTTAATAGTACCACCTACTAAGATACACAATATGAAAGAAGCCGGCTTGGGAGAAAGATTGTTTGTGAATAGGTTAACATTGAGGTAATCTGACATGGTCGGGTACAATGTCCATCAAAGAGTCAGATGTATGAAACTGGTATTTAGGAAGAAGTCAGAGCTAGAGACTGAGAATCAGTGATATATACAGTAAATACAATTATCTCATTTTCCTTAAAAGTCCTTTTTTTAAAGTTTTTATATGTCTGAAACAAATGTATATTATTTACTCTAACCAAAGCCTTATATATCTGTAGCTTGAAAACAATAACCCTTCTTTACATCTAGGTATACCTACCAGTGTGTAACCCTCTTCATCTGATTCAGGCTGAGACAAATCAGATTCACTCCTCGATTTGATCAGTCTATAATTTGGACTTGCGTGGACTAGCCGGCTCTCTGCAGTAAGACTTTCGCTCCTGTCTCATATGCACAAAGAAAAGTTTTTTGATTTGGGACTGTTAGTGAACAAAATTGAATGGAACTAGCAACATAGAGATAATATATATATACACACACACAATGAAGAGTAATTATGCTGTTGCTGGGGAATACTGACTCTTGTGTAAGCACAAAGTCCTTCTCAACTACAGCAAAATAATTTACAAGCCACTAAATTACATAGATGCAAATAATTTTATAATTCTCAATTACTGTTGTTCATATGTATGAAAAAACTGTGCTTTATCACCTAATCAAAAATTTATATTCTAAGTCAAATATTATTATTAAATTCTACATTATTTTAAATTCACTCTAGTCAATTTGTATTTCTTCTTCTAGGTCTTTAATTTCAGAAAAATAATTTTGAGAATAAACCATTTTATCACATTAAGTTACATAGGGAGGAAAGTAATATTTTAAGTTCCTAGTCAGTCGCACCTGGTCATAAGTCCACCCCCTTCAGAGGTACTTGTTGATGGTTGTTGCAACTGTCCTTCTTCCCTTCGCTTCTGAAGCTCGTCTATCACAGGACTTACTCCTAATATTAACAGGGCACACCGATGGATCACGGAGTTGCAGGCAGCAGTGTACACATCCTGACCCTCAGGAAGGTCTGTGCTGACCCTTCGCTCTTGCTGGGACTGAGGAGGTGGATCATCAGCTCGAGTCCCAGACCCTGCCCCACTGTTCATTCTATCTCGATCTCGGCTACGAGCTACTTCACGGGCTGAGAGGAAACACTGAAAGATTTCTGTAACATGCAACACAAAAACAAGGTCTTAACACATGGGGAGAGAAGAGCAAAGAAAATAACAATAAAAATAGTCAAAAAGTTTGGACCAAAAACTTACTGAAAGGGGCAAAAACTATTTTTTAAACATTAAATACAACATAGTAGCTAAGGTAAAATTACATGAAAATATATGTACATTAAATATAAAATAGTAACTAAGGTAAAATTATATGATAATATATGTAAAATATTAAACTTTTCAATAAAATTGTAATAGGAAATATCATCACCTTTACAGAATTTAGATTTGGTTTCTTTTATTTCTACTATAATGAGTATGCTTAGTGGTTATCAAGTGTTGTCTCAGACATATCAAGAATAGCATTATCAAGAATATCTGGGTTTTTGCTAGAAATACAAATTATCAAGCCCAGTCCAGGCCTTTTGAATCAGAAACTGCAGGCATGGGGGGTAGCAATCTGTTTTAACAGGCCTTCCAGCTGATTTTGAAGTCCACTAAAGTTCGAAATGGAATGGGTTAGGTAAAATAATTGCCTATTTCAGAAATGTCCATGACCTTGGTATGAAAAAGGTCATGTTACAAAAGAAAGAGACAATATTGAAGTTGCATTCGTTATAATAAAAAGTTCCCTTTCCCCTTCCAAAGTCAATATAATTCCTAACACCTACACTTTGCTGTTTTTTAGATCCATTAAATTTAAGCACAACTACTAAAGTCTATGCTGAAACAGAATCTGGTTATAACATATAGATAAGGTTGCCTCCAGCATCAAATGGCATCACCAGGAATGTCCACATGATGTTAGGCTTTTCCAATTCACAAGTGTAAAAGTCAGTTGATTTATCTACTACAATGGTAGATACTGTATGATTGGAAAATAATTTATTGCTCAAATTAAGAGTGAAGATGGTCTTCTCAATTAAAAAAAAAAAAAAAAAAAAAAAAACCACCCAGGCAGAATAGTTGGTAATATGGAAGTACAAACTTTCAAAATGAATATTTGTGTCTTATAAAATTATGATGATATTTCATTATGCTATTGAAATATCCATAGTTCTATTAAAAAAAATCAAAGCCGCAATCTGAGCATCCAGAATTGGAAATCAGTTAAGGTGATTAAAACAACAGTCACATAAGTTCTGGACAGACCTGATTCTAAGTCCAGCTGCTACTAACTGTGGTACACATAATCTTTCCTCATCTCTTCGGTCTGTCCATCATTAGAATGGGGTAATACTAGAATCCATTTCCTAAGACTGGTGTAAGGATTATAAGATCTGCCCCCACTGTTCACTCTATCTGGATCTCAGCTATGACCTACTTCCTAGGCTGAGAGAAAACACTGAAAGATTTCTGTAACATTCTGGACACTCTAACTGACCCAGTGGTCAAAAATGGTACCTAGTTCATGGGTCCTCCCCTGGTGGCACAAAGGCTTAAGTCTCAGCACTATGAAGCTATCATGCAGCCACTGCAGCACAAGTTCAATCCCCAGCCAGGGAGCTAACACCCACATGACGCAGCAGAACTCTCCTATCTCACTCGCTGCTCCCCATAGCAGTGTATTTCGGTCAATCTGCCTGTTCTGTTCCCCACTCTGTCTCTGGTGAATCCTCTCTCCAAATCCTCACCTCTGGCCTACACCCCAGCTCTTGTATGCATAAATAAATAAAATAAATATTTTTTTAAAAATGGTACCTAATTCAAAAATTACTATTTCCTGGGTGACTATCATTTGTTATTGTGTTTTCCACTTTGGCATTTGCTCTCAGGACTTTCTAAACTAAATCTGAAGTTTATGCACAGAAGTTCTATCAGCCTATGTTTTTAAAATACATTTAGGGGCCTCCCCTGGTGGCGCAGCGGTTGAGCGCTGGGCTGCGAAGCCACCCGCAGCCTCTGCAGCGCTGGTTCGATCCCCGGGCGCCGGCGAGGGTCCCACATGGTGCGACAGACCTCTCCTGCCGCATCCGCTGCTCCCCTCAACAGTGTATTTCGTCAGTCTGCCTAGTCTGCCTGTTCTGTTCCCTGCTCTGGCTCTGGTACATTCTCTCACCCTCCTGCGCTTCTGACTATACCCAATGCTTGTATAAATAAATTAAAAAAAAATAAAATAAAACGTATTTATTCTTCTTCATGATCTCCAAGCCACTTTCTCCATTAGGACCTTTTTTCTTTTGTTTTTATGAGTTTTGGTGCTGTTTTGCGTCACTTCAAAATCATTTTTAGAAGTACGCAGAACACAAATAAAGTGATAAAGTGACAGATTTATTGGTAAATACAGACAATCCCAATACTAAATGCATAACTGGCCATGTTTGAGGATACAAAGTAAAATACACACTCTATTTGAAATAGACAAATCACTCCAAAGACACTAACAAATGTTTTAAAAAGCTTTGTACCTTCTCTATAAACAACTAAAAGATCACCTCTGAAAACTATCTGTAGCCTTGGAATATAAAAGTATGGAAAGTTTTATTCATCCAGCCAATATTATTCTTAGTATACTTGTTTCTCCATTGAAAACAGCAGTGAAGTCAGTGGGTGAAATTTATAACTTCAAAAGTTTTACATATGGTAAATAATTGGGCTCTCCTAATATGCACAAAAGGGGCTCTCTTCCTCAATACACAGGTCAGCCAGGCCAATAGTATCCCCCAGAGGACACTCTTTGAATGACCTGATCTAGTGACTCAAGGTGTCATTTCATAAACAACAATCAGCAGAACAGTTACTATTTCCAAAATCTTGCTTCTTCCGGAGCTTTTCAGTTAAAAATATGAAATCCAATAGCTAAAAAATGAACTAGGAGAGTTGTAGAGCTGAAAAGCTAGCTAATGTAATTCATATCACCTGTAGAAAATCAGATCCTTTTAGAAAAATGATCGACTTTTTGCCTATCTCTTCTCCAGTAAGTTCTCTCATCAAATAGAATGGCACTGTGTCTATCAGCAAAGGAAAATGGGTGTACTCACTGCCAGCTGTCATCACTTCATGTTCCCGCTCTTCCTCCTCATCCTCTGGTTCTGGATGCCCCTCTTCCCGGTCTCGCTCAGCCTGTTCTTCCATTTCAGCTTCTTCATCAATGGTCCGGGTAAATGAGTGTTCCTGAGGATCAACATCTGCAGAGTCTTGATTTTCTGAAATCTTAAAGAAAATATCAGAGCTACACTTAATACATTTTTCAAAAAGTTTGTAAAACTTCATTAAAACCTTAACTATGTTTATCATAGAAAATACTGCTAATATCAATAACACATGAATTTCACTTCAAAACCCCAAATACTGGATAAATCTAAAAAGATTAGAAAGAATGTGTGCACACAAAATATATTCAGAAACACCTATATGCTCTCTCTTCCATAAATTTATTAAAATGTCATGCTATAATTTGATGTATATATTTACATATATAGCGATAGAAAAAATTCCTACAAAGCAGCTATAAATTCCTACAAAGCTGTTACTTAAGACGAGTTGAGTACATTGATCACAATGATCTACAAAGAGCTCATACCACATGACTCAACAAAAACAAAGTAAACAATCCAGTCAAAAAATGGGCAGAAGAGCTGAACAGCTACTTCTCCAAAGAGAAAATGCAAATGGCCAGCAGGTATATGAAAATATGTTCAGCATCATTTATAATCAGGGAAATGCAAATCAAAACCACAGTGAGATACCACCTTACACCAGTGAGAATGGCACATATTAGAAAAACCAGCAACAACAAGTGTTGGAGAAAAAGGAACTCTCCTACACTGCTAGTGGGAATGCAAACTGGTGCAACCACTATGGAAAGCTGTGTGGAGGTTCCTCAAACTACTAAAAATGGAGCTTCCATATAACCCAGCAATTCCACTCCTAGGACTCTACCCAAAGGACACAAAAACATTAATTCAAAAGGATCTCTACAGGGCCTCCCTGGTGACGCAGCAGGTTGAGCGCAGCACAATGAAGCTGTCCATAACCTCTGCAGCGTGGGTTTGATTCCGGGCCCACCAGGATGATTCCCACATGGCGCAGCAGGCCTCTCCTGTTGTGCCCACTGTTCCCCTCAGCAGTTTATTTCGGTCCATCTGCCTGTTCTGCTCCCTACTCTGTCTCTGGTGAATTCTCTCACCCTCCCACGCCTCTGGCCTGTACCCCAGTGCTTGTATAAATAAATAAATCTTTAAAAAAAGAATTATAAAAAAAAATGATCCCTACACCTGTATGTTTATTGCAGCACTATTTACAATAGGTAAGATATGGAAACAACCCAAATGCCCAAACGTATATGACTGGATGTGGTATATATGCATAGTGAAATAATTTTAAGCAATTTAAAAAGATATGTCATTCATAGCAACTTGGATGGAGCTGGAAGGGATTATGCTCAGTGAAATAAGTCAGAAGGAAAAAGAAAAATTTAAGATGGTTTCACTTATAGAAGGAATATAGGGGAAACAAATAAGGAGTCAGGAAAAAAAAATAAATAAAAAACCAAAATTACAGACAACTATAAATCAGAGACATTCTGTAGGGGAGGGGGAAGAAAAGTGATCAAAACAGGGGAGGGGAGCTTCCCTAATGGCACAAGGGATCGGGACCCAACCTATAAGCTATTTGCAGCCACTGCAACATGAGCTGGATCCCAGCCGGCCAGGGAGCAACCCATACGGCAGACCTCTCCTTTCTTGCCCACTGCTCCTTTATCAGGGTGTTTTAGTCGATCTGCCTGTTCTGTTCCCCACTCTGTCTCTGGTAAATCCTCTCACCCCCGACACCTCTGGCCTGTGCCCCAGTTCTTGTATGCATGAATAAATAAATCTTAAAAAAAAAAAAAAAAAAACAACAGGGGAGGGAAGAGCACAAGGGACTATGGTGATGGTGAATTGGTGGTGGGAGTTTTACAGGGACTATGCCTGAGAGGAGAAAGCAAATATTATACAAAAATGAACAGTGATGTAAAATATATGTAAATAAATTTTTTTTAAAAATGAGTATGACATAAAGCACAAAAGAACATGAATTTTTATTCCATTCAGTCTCTCAAGCTGTGTATATTATTATTCTATAAATGTTTAATACTTCTAAGTTTAAAACAATATTTTGAAACTTTTTTGGGGTAAGAACATTAAAGTTCTCAGTAAATTTCAAATATAAAAACAGTATTATTTTTATTTTTTTTATTTTGCTTGCCACTGAAGAAACAAAAAATTAAAAATCTGGCAGGGACAATGTAAATTTTATTGTGGTTATGCTACCTGGCAGTTATTTACAAGAAAGAGTCTTTATAACTGGTGCTAAGACAGTCTGGAATACTTATAATAGTATATCATTTCCCCCACAAATTTCAGTATAAAATACAAATGAAAATGTCTAATAATATCCTCAGATGTATAATATAGGTTATTTTGTATACATGACCAGTAACTAAATTTTTCTTATTGCAGAGCTGGGGCTAACGTAGCAGTGCACTAAACTCACATAAGTCATTTATCCCCATAATTCTGAGTTTCAAATTTGAACATCAATAAAATGGGAAATTAATACATTTCATGAACTTTCAAGGTCACTAACTAGTCAGCTCCATGAGTATTAAATCAATACATGACAAAATACTACTATAATACAATTGTAGAGACAGATTGATTTTCAAAATCTAAGATTTATATAATAGAGTACAAAGCATGTAATTTGTGAGGTTTCAAAGTAAACATTTCAAAAGTTGATTTGTTATCCAGACTTGTACTTCAAGTTATAGGATCATGCTATACCAAGAATTTCAGAAATCATCTCAGTTTTGTCAACAAAATCACTTCCGAGCCATCTTAACAAAAGACTTCAATCTTGGCTTCCAGTAGAGAACAATTCTAATCATTACCAGTCTTTGCTCCTTATAATCAGCTAACAACCATTCTCCATTCAATTGTTACCCTTTGGGCCCACCTGTGCCCTCTGGAAAAACATGGAACATATTTATTTCTTTTCATACACAGAAGCTATTTTAAATGTTTTTAAGGTAGCTTAAGACTCCCATGCCCTGCCCTGTCCTTTTTTCCCCCTACATCTCCTGGCTGAACAATTTTCAGCTTTATAGTTCCTATACAAAATGGCTTTTGGACTCTTTACCAAACTGAGGTAGTTTATTAATATCACTCATAAATTATGGCACTCCACATTAAGTAGAATAATTCATATGTAGCCTGACTAACAAAATAATGGGATAATATTTCATGATTTGGATAATTCTATTTGTTGTGACTATATATAGAGCCTAGGAATACATAAACTTTCTTAGCAGCCATATCATACTTGATAAGCATAAAGTTAAATAAATCCAGAATCTTTTACTAGTCTACTTTTTTCTAATAGAAAAAGAATTACTCAATATTTCGAACATCTGCAATAATCAAGGCACATTGCTTTTTCTCACATAAATCAATATGGTGTTCTCTCTCACAGATTGCAGAAAAACACAGAAATTAATTGACTTTCAACTTTACCCATCTGTCTCGTGATGATGACCTGGTTTGAATAAGTTCAAGGTTCTTGCAAGCAAGTAAACGACTTCGAACTTTGTACACACAACGGTACACTTCTGACAAGCTTTTACCAGGTTGATATCTAAATAAAGAACCAAAATAGAAAAGTTATAATTTCTAACATCATGAGAGCAAATATTTGTCTGAGGATAGTTTTAAGATACTTGCCGGCTTTCTCCACATGCTTGACTAAGTAAATTCGTGTGTTTCAGAAGAGCTGCAAGAACAAATCTAGACACAGTGTCCAAGAGTGATTCATTACTCAAAGTTGCACTGTCCCAATCTGGAAATAAAAGTGAAGCACTGACATTTAAAAAGGCTCAGAAAACAGTTCAGAGATAATTTTAATAGCTTTGGTAATCTAACATCTGAATTTTATTCTTTTCCTAAACTGTTATTTAACAAATGCACCTACTAGATCCCATATGTTAATCTGTGTATACGACAGCAAACAGAACTAAGTCTCTGATCTCACAGAATTTATATTCTAGTGGGGGGAGGAGCGAGGCAATAAATAAAAATATTAATGTGATAGATAAGTACTATGGAGAAAAATTAAGTAGGGAAGAACAGAGGCAATGTATAGTGTGGGATTACTACCTTATATAGGACAGTTATACTTAAGCAGAGATTTAAATGGAGGAAGCGAAGGGCCTCTCTGGTGGCACAGCGGGTTGAGCGTGACGCTGTGAAGCTGTCTGCAGCCTCTGTAGCGTGGGTTCAATTCCTGGCTGGCCAGGGAGAAACCCACATTGTGTGGCAGACCTCTCCTGCCTTGCCCACTGCTCCCCTCAGCAGTGTCTTCGGTCCACCTGACTGTTTTGCTCCCCGCTCTATCTCTGGTGAATTCTCTAATCCTCCCACACCTTCGACCTGTACCCTAGCTCTTGTATAAGTAAATTAAAAATCTTTAAAAAAAAAAAAAATGGAGGCGGTGAAGAAGTCAAAGAGAAATAGTGTCCCCTCAGAAAGAACTATGGCAAAGGCCCTGAGGTGGGTTCAAGGAGATCAGAGTGGCCGCAATAAAGTAAGAGACATTAGAAAACAGGCTGGGGACTAGCTCACATAGGACCTTGCAGATCACTGTAAGTCCTGTAGGTTTTACTCTGAGGAAAATGGAAAGCACCATCAAAACCTTTTGAACAGAGATAGGACATGACCTAACTTGTGTTTTGAAAGGTTCACCCTCATTACTGAGGGGAGAATTATGGCAGTAATTTGGGTGGAAATGATGATGACTCAGTCTAAGATAGTAGAAGTTAAAGTAATGAGAAGTGGTTAGATTCTGTATACTATTTTGAATGTAGAGTTGAAAGAATTTGGTGAGGGATCAAATGTGAAAATGAGAGATGTCAAGGCTGACTACAAATGTATTTAGAATGTAGCTGGCATCAGAGAGGAAGGCCATAGGAAGAACACTTCACGGGTAGGGAGATGGAACAGGGAGTCTAGTTTTGAATACTGTCTATCAGACAACCTAGTGGAGATGTTGAGTGTGTTGATAGCTGGAATTTGAAGTCATGAAAGTAGATATTGTGTATTTCAGTGGGTAAGAAATTAAACAACTGGACAAAGATGAGAACAACTGAAAACCCAAATCACAGCATTAAATAAACAGCAATCAGATGTTTTCTCTAAACCCCTGTACTATACTTTAAAACATATAGTACATTCAGTAAATTCCAAATGGATGTGGGAGGTTTACTGTTTACTTCACTCCAAGAATGTTCACTAGACTCTGTTAATTTGAGATTTACCATGTTACTTAAAAATAAAGTCAAACAAACAAGAAACCTTGGAAAAATATTAAGCCCCAAGTTAATTTTATTTAGTCTTAATACCGTCTTAAAATACCTATCTCAAACTTTACATCAGAGGACTATGAGTGCTTTGGGAAGGAGGAAGGGCTGCGGTGATTACATCTGGAGGCAGGGGGATATCCTATACTGTCAAAACACTAGCAAGGATGTAAAACAAGGGAACTTCAATAACAATAAAATAATAAGTAAATTACATCTCGGTTTTCCAGTTTTTTAATATGCTTAGGTGAAAAATACAGACAGCTATTTTATGTGTGAAAAAAACTATAAACATGCCAGATCTTAAAGAACATCTTACAGCCCACAGAGACTCCTAGAATGACAGTTTATATACCATACAAAATTTTCTCACATGCCACTTGAGAGATCATCTGTACCAACGAATTGCTTGCTCGAAATCAAACTTGCAGTTAGAATCAAACTGACTTAAAGTCAAACAAGACCCCATTTCAAGGAATCTAATGTTCAATTTTAAAAGTAAATCAATACCTTTTCCTGTATTTCTACAGGGATTATCCCCCTACACCTTTTTTTTTTTTAATGTAATGGGTTCTTTTTAAAACACCTTTAATAAAGTGACAGTCATTTCATACCAAGCACTACAGAATGTCTTCACTATCTAGGCTATAGTGAAGATAAATAATTCAGAAAATGTAGTAATATAATGAGTTTTTATTCATCTTATGTTTTGTGTACTTTTTATTTTTAGGTATAGCTGCAATTGACCACAGGTTTATATCTACTTTTTAAAAGTTCTCCTTGCAATGGAATAAGTGATAATATGGTATAAAAAGGAAACCTAACTGCACATTCAAAGAAAATGATTCAAATATGAGAATATCAGAAAATAAAATTTAGAGAGTAAACATTTTCCTCCTCCATTACCATACTTTTGCACATCTGGGTGACTCAACACAACAGAATAAATAATAAACAAACTGGATGAGATTAAACTTTCAAAGGTTTCCTTCTCACTGGTATTTTAAAGATCTGAATAATATGTACTTCATGTCTTTTTCAGTATACAAAATAAAATACAACATAAGGTGAAAATGTATTTACTTTGAACATTTTTAACAGAGAAGGAAGACAATCTAAAGAAATGGCAGAAAACTAAAGAAAAGAGAATAAAGTAGAGAAACACAACAATGTGATTCTGAACAGTCCAGGTCACTGCTGTAAGTGAAAACTTGGGAGCTAAAAAGAAATCAGGTATATCCTTTGAAAACTTGTACATAACATTAATAATAATCAAATAATAATAGAAAACGAAAATATCACTATATAATTGCATAGTACTTTACTAATGTACTTAGCATACCTTATCTCAAATTGGTTTTTTCATCAGCACTCTGAAGTGGGCAAATATTTTACAGAGGAGGAAATGGACCAAGTCTAGACCACAGACTTCTACATACACATTCTTTCAATTCTTACATAAAGGACTTGCAAAGAGAAGACAACTCATTAAACAGACTCTTACACTAAATCTGTTTACATTGCACGGAATACACCAGTAAAATGTTTGCCTCTGAATTTATCTTTTACATAAATTTCAATTTCCCTACAGTGGGTCTGCTTCAAATGAGATACATGTATCTATTTTTTAAAAATAAATATTTTCCACAAAGAAAAAAACCAAATTTTTATTAATGTTGTTTGTAGAATATCTGCTTCTATAAAAAAGTAAAAAAGTGATTCCTATGATTTTCTATTAATATATATTACATAAATGTTTGTTTGTAATATCCACATATTTATTCCTCTTTTATCTCTTCATCTTACCTTTACTAACAGCATAATCCTGCATGCTGATCCAAAGACTTTGTGCAGGTTCTTTGGAACAACCCAACGCCAAGTCTACATAGACAGCAATTTCAGGCCGCAATTTGTAATCAAAAGGCTTCTGTTCTTCATTTCCTGAAAGAGCTACTTCTAATAGGCAACTCATACATTTATCTAAAAAGAAAATTATTCAAGCTATCAATTTTAAGCCTTGTAAATTTTGGCTACAATAAAATCTTATATTTAATTAATACACATAAAATGATTTACTTCAAGTCATTTTAATTACATGCTATAAAGGTCAAGTTCTTTAATATTTCTCAATTCCATCCTCTCCAGAAGGATATGTGACTAAATGTGACACTCCAATGTGGAGCTCTGGCATTCTGGTAGGCAGCAACCAGGTATGCTAAATGTCTTACACAAAATATTTTTCTATTCAAAATGTAATGCAAACATACATTTGAAAAGGGTGAACCTATACCTCTGAGTTGTAAATCAATACCTCAATAAAAAATACAAAAAAAAAGTAAAAAAGTAATGGTAGCCTTGTTGAGAAACATGGGACCACTGGAAAAGAGACAAGAATTTTTTTCCCAGGCTTAAGGGAAAACCACCAGTTAAGTACAATTCAAGAGGGATCAAATATACCATTAACAATTTTTCAATTGATATTTACATTTATACAAGTGGTTCCAAACTTTTCAATGCAACCTTGGGCATTCAGAATTCATTTTCTATTAAAAAACCAAACAAAACAATTCTCTAAATCATTGTCAGGTTCTTGAGCTAATACCAAAAGTCAATTTAGGGCCCCCCCGGGTGGTATAAGGGGTTATGCACTGCACTATGAAGCAATCCACAGTCTCTGCAGCACGAGTTCAATCCCCGGCCAGCCAGAGAGAAACCCACATGGCGAGGCAGACCTCTCCTGTCTCGCCCCTGCTGCTCCCCTCAGCAGTGTGTTTCAGTCTGCCTGTTCTGTTCCCCACTCTGTCTCTGGTGAACCTTCTCACCCTCCGCATCTCTGGTCTGTACCCCAGCTCTTATATGCATAAATAAATCTTTAACAAAAAAAAAGTCAATTTAACCCAAAGTACAATTGGATTATTATAGATTTACAATTTTACAAGGGATAATACTCTTTTCCTAATATATGCAATTATTTAAACATAAAATGACATTTTAATAGTTTCATAAGTGAAATTGAACAAAAACATTAAAATTGAAATTGATTTTATTCATACTAAAGGCTAGTTAACTGAGTAAAAAGAATGTAACAGAAATATGAGGAAGGTATTAATATATATACTTTGGCTCTCTGAGGACATTTGAGACTATCACAGAGCTAAACATATAGCACTGGAGTCATCTTTATGATATTAAATATTTCTTGAAAAATCATGATTTTACCTTTTTTGATACAAACTATACACAAGTACCAGTCTAGCATTCATCACCCATGGTCAGACTCATAAATGAAATGATGAATAAATACTCCAATTTGGAAAATGAAGATTT